ACCGCTTTAGCTAAAAAGCATTTTGTGGAAAGCAGGATGAAAGCAGTAAAAATACTATTTTAATAAAAATGTAAGTGATGGCAGACAGCATTTGGGAATGAACTGCTCTCCAGGTCTTTGTAGTTTGCATATGCATATGATAGAGGGACATACACAAGAAGTAAAAACCTGAAAGGTTTTTTAGTGCAGCATGACGCTGTAAGCATAGAATCAAGTAGGATGGAAAAGACCTTAAGATCATTAACTTACCTCAGGACTGCCAGTAAAACTGCAAGAGAGTTGGTAGTGGAGCTGGTTTTGATAATGGATGATGATACCTCGATGTCTGGTCTACAGAGTGATTTATTTTGTTTTCTCTTAGTTTTGCTTGGGGTTTTGAGTGATTTTTTTAGTTTTTCTAGAAAAGAAAACTGTAAGTGAATTTTAGAAATGTCATGATTATAAAGGGAAGTAAATGCTAAAACTGGGTTACTGCTATGCGATGTCTTACGCCTTTTTTTTCCGGGAGGAAACATACCATGAGAAGAAAAATAGTTGGCTCGGAAGTTGAGCATTCAGGCTAAGGAGTATTCTTGCAGGTACATTTCATTTGTGCATGTCCTGGGTTTAGCACTAGCAGTCATTTTTTCTCTTTGCGAGAGGTGTCTTGGTCTGTGTTTATTAGCTGTAATTGCAACTGAAAGGTTGGCATTCAGGGCACACAGTAACAGCCAGCTACAGGTACTGGCTTGGTAGCCACAGATACCTGGCAAGGGTTAGGTTGTGCTTTCCATCCAGCCTGGGTGGGGGGTGGGTTGGGGGCAGAGCACTGCAGGTTCTGAAATCACCCCAACTCCAGCCAGCCAAAGTACATGGGGGATGCTGATGATGCAGTGGCAGTGCAAGCTTCCAGTCATCACATTTCCCTATGGCATTTTGTTGCCACTGGCAGTCTTCCGGGCTGTTAACACAGCAATAGCTAAATTCTGATGTCCCATAAATATTAGTCAAGCATGCAGGTAACATGAGTATTGAGTCAGCTTTGTGGAAAGCACTGTGTTGCACCATATAAGATGTTGGTTGGTAAATTTGAATGCAGCCTTCTGGCTAGTGAAAACACAGCTTTACTAATCTTTCAGCTTTAAAATAATTTTTCATTTATATAGCTAGTCAAAACAACAGATTCTTCTGAACATACTGCTGTTAATTCATTTTCTGTGTCTATGTGACCTTTGTTTCTTCAGTCCTCAAGTAGCTTTCCTCTGCCCTATCCATGTAACAGTCTTCCTCAGTCTTGAGGGTTTGAGGGTTTTTTTGAATGTTGGACAAAAGCAACCGGGTGTTTGTGCTCCACAAACCTTCATATTACAATATGAACTTGTTCTGGCTTCAGAAGACACTGGAGAGCAGAGCAGTGCACTGGTGTAGCAGCACATATAGCGCGTCCTCTCCTGACCCTTTCCCCTGGCCCCAAACATGCCTGGCAAATGGATACTTGGCACTCTGCCACAGCTCATTACGCCAGGCTTTCTGTGCCCTACTTATCTGAACAAAGGCTGCTCTGAGGAACACAGGCATCATACTTAGGTCACATAAGCAGAAAAAGCCATCAGAATTTCACTGAGTCATGATGGAGCTTTCCTTCATGGTAAGTCTGTGAGAATTGTCAGGTTTCAAATGATAGCTTGCCTTGCTTGCTAAATAAATGCAGAACTCATAGCTATTAAGCTTGCTAATGTCTTCCTCAGAGGAGGAGAGAGTAGAGTCACTGTTTTGAGGTATCACGCTTGGATGTAAACAGAGACAGTACTGGAAATCTAAGAAGATGGCTCATTTCATGTTGGTCATTTATTGATTGAAAAACTGCCAAAACCCTAGGTACTTGCCTCTTAAATTGTAAAGGACTGATTTGTTAGGAGAATTGGTGTTAATTCTACTAGTGAAAACATGAAGTAACCTAAAATGTGTGTCAGATTACCATTATTTTACTACCAGACCTAATGCTTTCATCAGCTCTGTTTATATGCAATCCACTGTACTTTTGATCCTTGGAAAGGTTACCTTTGAAATTGTTTCCACAATCAGAGGCAAGTCAAAGACTCCAGAGGAGACAAAATAGGCTGTAGATTACAGATGCAATTACAGATGGCTACAAATCAAGGTATGTTATGACTTGAGCTGCAGCTCTTGAAGGGAGCCTGTTACTTTTTAGCATTCAGAACACTGCCTTCTAGGTAAATCCTCTTACTCGGGATTTGAATTTCTATAGACTCCTGTCTGCCTTGAGGTATTGTGTGTCGTCTCTGAACTGCAGCGGCCTCTCCTGCATAGTAACTATTTCACACAGCAGTAGCCGGCTTCAGTGCTGCAATATTTGAGAGACGGGCAGATGTTTGCAAACCGCTTCTGTGTGCGGCAGAAATGGAAGTTGGAAATGATTACTATTTTTCTAATTTTTTGGTGCTGGTAATTGTGGTGGGTGGATCTGCTTTTGGCTGATGAGGTTTTTATGCGCTAGAATGCATGCATGCCTTTATTTTGGGTCTGATTTGGAATACTTAACGGGGAGCTATGTATTATTTATCTGGCAGGAGGTGGAGGCTTGCCCGCGTATGTGCATTTCAAAGGTTCTTGGTGTGAAAGGTTCTGGGTTTTCTGTGTATTGCTTTGTGATAATTATTTGGTGTAAATGGGTTGTTTTGCTGTAGTTGCAGGCTTTGGTTTATCCTTTTCTTTACTGCTTGTAGCTTAGTGAACAGTGCAAGCAGATATTTACTACACTTAGTAAATTTTCATAATGTGGACTTTGAAATGTAGAAGTCAGCTAACATAGTACTAAGAATTTAAATTTTTAGGAGGCATTGCTGCAAATAGTCTTTTTTTTTTCACTGTACATTACTGATATTACTGGAATATTTAAATATTAAAATGGTTAGATTTTTTTCTGGTGTGGTTTCCTGCTTTCTCTCACTTGAGTCTCACTGCAGTAACCCTTCTGAAAAAGCTGCTACAGAACAGTTGTCAATCGTTTCTCTTTAGAGCTACTTAATTTTTGTAATAGCATTGCTAGGTGAGAGCAGATCTCTGCTGTTCTGCTTTATCTTTTCATATTAATTGTTAGTGACAGTGCAAGATGGCACATCTGCACAAAAATAGGTTTGTACCATTTAGACCATTATACTCAATATACAGGCCAAGGTATACAGGTCTGTCCCTTTTTTTTCTTTTGCAGTGCAAAATGCAATATAAAGTAGAGCATTTTATTTTTATTTAGCCTTCTTTTTTTTTTTATGTTGCCTGCTTAGTAGTATCACTATGGTAACCGACTGAAGGATGTCTCTGAGGCACTCAACCTGCATTGCTATGTAAGTGAGGGGAGATCTTAAGTTGCCTGACTGCTGAACAGTAGAAAAAGGAACAGGCAAGGCAGAGAAATAGGCTAATATTTATAAGCTATTATTTAATGCTTGCTCAAAGCTTAAGAAGTTATTTTACAAGTAACGTATATGTGAGTTCATTGTTTTCTGTCCTCTCTTCTGGGGCTGCTGTTGCTAAAATATTCATTAAAAATCATAATTTTCTGTTCTTCAAATTGAGTTTGCTTCATTTTTTTAAAACACTTCTATATTACAAATGATGTTGATAAAAGTGCAGAGGTAAGCTGCAGAACTGTGTGCCTCGCAGAGCTCATGAAGTGTCAGCATTCTTTTTTTATGCTTTGCTATGAGTAATAATTTTCTAACAATTTTTCTGTTAAAAATGTTTATTTAGAAATTGTGTGGTCTGTAAAACTCTTCTCAGTCTTCAAGATGTGTGTTATAGAGATGTGCTATACACGAGGTGTTATTAGGACCATGAGGAAAGTAGTGCCTGGTAGTTCTGGTACGACAAATACGAAAAGCAAGTTTCATATACATCCATTAATAAGGATTTATTTTTTTTCCCAGCTACACTAATAAGCTCCTGATGCTACCTAGTTTGGAATCCTGAGCAGCCAGAGCTAAATCACCATTTTTGTGCTAATAAAATATGCTAAAGAGTCAGTAATTTTTGTATATTAGAAGCCACTTGGAGCTATATTTTGTAAATAACTGTATTTATTAACAGTAATATTTTATGTGCTATCTCTTAGGACTGACTGTTGAATTAATATGTTAATCCAAATTTTGCACTGTCTAGCAATTTATATGAATTTTATGGAAAAGTTCAGAGGCACTTGAGTTTGTATGCCTGTTTCATTCATTTTAACACACTTGGTTGCATTTCAGACTGTAAATAGTGGTCACTGAATTAACATGACACTTAGAAATGATTTGCTCACATCCAGATTTTCTGGCAGACAGGCTTAATTGCTCTGCTTGTGTGACCTTTCTAGAAGAAATTCTTGTCTCAGAACTTCAGAATGCAGAGATGGTTTCAAGGATACTTTTCGTATCTTTTGAGGAATAGTGATTAAAAATAAACAAGCTTTAATGGTTAGTTGCAGTTATCTTGATACCTGGAGGAAAGGACGTAAGAACTTAGAAACTCTTTAAGAACTCGTGTTTTAATGTAAAGGTATTCATTGTGGTTTTTGGCATGAGATCAGTTTTCTAAAAAGACTTCAAATCACTGAATTTACAGGAACCTTACTGTGTTTTTCTAGATAAATTGAAAGCTTCAGTGTTTATCTCCCTGAGGCTGTGAGCTGGTATGACTTACAATCCCAGTTCTGTATTCTAAGGAAAACCTGATTTTCTAATTTTGACCGTTCATTTGATGCAGTCATTCTTACAGATGCTATCCCAGTTGTTTTGTGAAGATGTCTGTTGCCATCTTACATTACTAGAAGCATTGCTGCATCTGCAGTAGAAAAAATTATTTTCTTCCAGTAAGCAGCTGAACAGAAAAGAAAAAGTATTTTCTTGAAGAAACATGGTAAAATGACGTATTGATTTTCAAGTACAAAATTTATTTGTCCTTAGTAATTTTCCAAAGTTCTACTGTTATGTTGGTTAAAAAACATTTATTTCTTTTTCCAGCATTTTCAGTTAGCTTTGATTGACTGCAATCCCTGCACTTTGTCTAACGCTGAAAGTAAGTAACTGATTCCATTTATTTTGTTGTAGCTTTTTGTGTTTTTTAAGTCTTATGCTCACAACTGTATGAATTTGTAATGAACCAATCCTTCAAAATCAAGAGTCAGTACTGAGAGGGAGGCTACACAACCTGCCTCCATCTGTCAGTGGAGACAGATATTCCAGTGGAGTTGTGGATCGTTTTAGTAAGTGGAATAAGTAAAAATCAAGACTCAGCTTATTAATTGCTTTGAAGATGAATTCTTGAGGAGCATTTATTTATTTATAACAGTAGTGCTTGTGCCATGGTGTATGTTTAATAGCAGTTTAAAACTTTGTGGCATCTTGATAATATGTTGGTTTTTGATGATCATTTTAATGCCCATTCATAGGTCTAAAATTCAGCATCAGTTTTAACACTGTTGAAGTAGGAAAAGGTACAAACTGTAGTTTGGTTGATCATTAGGTGCCAGCTATGTATTCGTCTGTACTTGAACATGCTACTCTTTTAGTGTAATATGATTTGTCAGATGCAGTATACACCGTAGTCTGTTAACAGAGCATCCTGCAGGTATTTTTCCATAGTGGAATGTATGCAAGAATAATCATATGTTGCTGCATGTTCTGGAGAATTCTGTAAGAATTAAAAGACAGGCAGTTGTGAAGGAAATTACCCTCCCAGTTTTTAAGGTATCGCCATGCTGATCTTGGTGTTGAACTTAAAGTTATCTCCTAATTCCAAGTTCAGAAGCATTGGGTAAAGTATTTAAAAGCATTTCTTCTTTTTTTTTTTTTTTTTAATCTGGATTTAGATGGACTCGTGAATATTCTGTCAGCAAGGCCAATGAAAGGGTGTTTGTGTACGTGGGTGAAACTTCTGGCTGTATTGATATCAAGGAGCTAGCTATGCTACAAGGTCTTCTCTAAAGTTTTGTCTGTCATGAGGAGCAGACACAGATAATATTGTAAAATATTTGCAGAATTCTTCCTAAGTCAGTAGGCTTTTATTGTTTCCTACCAGCAACATGATTCTTTATCATATTTCATGTTAGTTCATATTATTTCTCACTGACTTTATCGGTTTTCATTGCATCTCTGAATTTCTGTAAGGTTTTCCTAACCTTTCCCCTGCCCCCAGTTTTATGTAGAGGTATGGCCCCATGTAAAGGCTTTGTTGCACAATGCCTGACAAACTGGAAGGAAGAGAGAAGTGAAATGAGAGATACCTTGTCAGGTTCTCCCATCCTACTTAGTGCAAGGAGAACCATGCACTTTGACCCATGCTGTTGGGTACCCTCATAAATGCTTGTGGTTACCTTAACCCTCCCCCTTGCATTTCTAAAGGCTGGGTGAGTAACGACATTACAGTGAGTGTGTTCCTAGCAGAAATGTTCTAAGCATGTCTTATTTCTATTTAGGCAGTCTCCAATGTGACAGCTTTAATTTCTTTCCCCTGCACGGTGTAGCTTCATACTGAAGGGGTTTAGCTGTGAGGGGGGAAAAATAACAGATTTTTTAGATAATGAACAAAAATAACAGCAGAGGTTTTTCCTTCATCAGTACACAGTGAAGTTTGATGTTGTGGTGAACATAATTGATGTCATGTACCCTTTAGCAAGTAACACAAAAAGTTTAATTGAATTTTAGATGATGCATTTCATTATGACCTGGTTTTTGAAGTGCACTAAGCTACCTTCTATATAGTGAAGGACAAAACTGTGCACAGAGGATTTTCCCCCTCTTTTATGACCCAGAGGGAAACCCTGGAACTCCAAATTACTTGTATAAACCTCTGTGTCACACTGTTCTTCAGCTTCAAGAGACAGAAATCTGTGTACTGAAATAAATTGAGCTTGCCTCAAAGACAGGTATTTTCTTAACTTGCAGTCCTCAGGAACATCAGATAAAAGTCTGTCTCAAAGGAATTTGTCTTTCCTCATCACATAGAGTGAGGATTACATCCATCTCAAATAGTTTTAGCTATCTGTCACTCTGTAGCTAGTCTAAGCTAGCAGTTCGCAGGCCGGAGAACTCAGGCATTCCATCTTTTGTTTAATGATTTGAGCAGCATGAGGATACTTTTCCCTCTGCTTTTACTCCTGAACAATTTTGGTGTTTTTTTTTTCTCCAGCCAGCAACTTTACTTGCCTCTGAGATCTGCTAGTAGTATTATGGCATTCTGTGCAATTCGTATGAGTAATTTAAGATGCTTTACAGCAATAATCAGAATACCATCTGTAATTAGCACTCTTAGTTTAACAAGGGAAAGTCAGTTCCTAAAAAGGAAAAAAAAACAAAACCCAAACATCTGAATTTAAGATCCTCTATAAAGTTGGCTGTGTATAATGTAGTTTTCTGGTCTAAAATATAGTCTGTCCTTTGACAGTTGAATGAAAGTAAGTCTCTAATTCAGTTATCTACAGAAAATATTAATGTGCAGTCTCTGCTTAAAGAGATTTTATTGCTAAGTTTACTGTAAGGGTAATGGACTGCATTACAGAATACAAATAAAATCCATGGACTGCCTTTCTGCAATATTTGTTTGCAGTCTTAATGCTTTGTTAGGATACATATTCATTCTCTTGTCAGTTCTGTTACATTTAGCATAAAATGTGAATGTAAACAAATACTTCTTTTTATCTTCAAAATTTAATTTATCTTGGTTTTACATTGATCAATTTTAAACATTCTTTATCCCTCACTTGAAAGCAGATATTGTAATTGTTGTCATTAATTAAAACTACTAATCTTGATTTTCCCATTCTTACAGTTCAGTTTCACATCGCCCACTTACATGAAATCCAGGTAAGCTTTAAGCTACTTTATATAAAGTGTGGTTATTTATATGATGTAATTAGTCTGTTGAACTCAGATTATGGATGCTTTTTTAAAGTTCTGCTTAAGTCTCAAATCACTAAAGAAACTTATATTAACTTTGGCCAGATTTAAAAATACTTTGTATATGGACTGTCATGCTACAAAATGGAGTAGCAATTTTAGTAAACTTATATATTTACTGGTCTCACAGGCTGAATGCAAAAAAACCTGTTCAGTATATTTTCTAGTGAAATTCTGTTATGAGATTATATATAATTTTAAAGTTACAAAAAAGTATATAGAAATATAAAAAATCTGTAGTTTGTCAATTCATAGATATCCCTATTGTTTCCCATGCATGCACACACATGGTCAAGTCTAGCCGGTTGCCCTGGTGCTTTTTAAGTATATTTGACACAAAATTTTCAATTTTAGCTGAACATATGTGATACAAACATTTTAGATCCGAGGTCAGCAGCACATAAAGCTGTGTTATTAATTCTGTGTCTAATCCTACCACAGAGTTTTCTATGTGAAATTTTGGGAAATTACCGAACTCTTACTGAGCTTCCAGAATAAAAGTAAATTAAAACCAAGTAGCTACTGAAATAGCTATTGTATATTTGTTATTTGACTAACCGATCATATAATGACAACTGTATGCCTTTTTATCATGTTTATAGGTATTATATGACTGAGGAAGGGATGTGACATGAAAACAAACTTGCAATTAAAATGGATGACAGACATAAACTATATGTTCAGTCAGTTGAAAAGCAGCTTGATAAAGTAGGTGCTGTCTTTTGATGGCACGGTGGAAAATGGCTTTAGGTATTTATATATAAGTAAAAGATACAAATTTGATATTTCTTTTTTGAATGCTTTTGGTGCAAAGCTGTATGACAAGACAGAAATCCCCCGTCCCAAAACGCCATGCAGAAACTTCATGGAGTGTTACGGTTCATACCTGGCCACTGTCCAGATTCAGTTCTGAGCACTAGAGTGCAACTGACGCAATTATATAACAAAGCATCCTCAACACGTTAGTTCTTTTGATTTTCTAGAGTAAAATAGAAAGTTAAAGGCCACAGGTCTATATCCGTATACCAGCTGCCTTATATAATTGTGTGACCAACTTCACAAGTGCTTAAGCTCTGCTTTCTGATTGACAATTGTAGGCAGCAGGAACTTTATTTTAATACAAGTCAGAGCAAAAAAATTTCAGTGTGTTCTCCCGTTAGACTTGATTTGTCTCATAGTTCTGATTGGGAGGGATATCTTGTTTTCTGGAATTTAAGAAACTTGGAACCACAAAGGGTCTTGCCTTCATTCTGGATATTGCCTCTGGCACAATGAAGAGATGTTTTTGGAGGCAGGCTGATGGCTTTGTTTCTTTTAAACGACACTGCTACAGATCTCTGAACCCTTCTGTATAGTTGAAAATTACTTGCTGTCTAATATTTGATGAAAAAGTAATTAATTCCTTAATTGTGTATCTTCACAATACTGGAGTTTAAATGGTGGGTTGCCAGAACTCCGAACGAGAGGGTAACCCTAGTGCTGATAGGAGTTAGCAGTAGTTTTTCATGGTGCTTAATGCTAGTTTCTGTTATTTCATCAGTGGTAGCATGAGTCCTTCTAGCTATTTTGGGTGCTTGCTTTATACGGTGTCAAAAAAAGGGGTAGGGCTGGGCTCCCCTGTCATTTCAGAGACCATTCATGATGCAGCCAAACTTCAGGGACTTTTGAATTAATACATAGATGTTAGGAAGAAATTTTCCACTATGAGAATGGTGAGGCACTGGCACAGGCTGCACAAAGAAGCTGTGGCTGCCCCATCCCTGGAAGTGTTCAAGATCAGGTTGGATGAGGCTTTGAGCAACCCGGTCTAGTGGAAGGTATCTCTGTCTGTGGCAGGAGGTGGGAACTAGGTGATCTTTAAGGTCCCTTCCAAACCAAACCATTCTATGAAATAAACCAAAATGTAAACATTGTGACAGTTTTCTGTAATATTTTAGGGCATACATGTAGGCAGATTTCTAAAGGCTGAATAATACTACAAATAACAAGTAAAAAATATCCTAGATCTGGAAAACATGGCCTATTTTAGTATGTCTTTCTGAATCCTCGCAAGCATGCAAACATCTTTTTCAAAGTGTGAATATTAGGCACTAATATTTATCTGTTTGACATCTGGATTGCTGCCACTGCTTATACAGTGAACTTCTTTTGCTTATCCTTCATAGTCATGAGCTACAAATTATGTTCCCAGTGCTAAATTTAAAATTTTTTCCTGATTGTTTTTATTTTGCTGGACATGGATATTTTATTTATTTCTATTATTTGTTTTCTTACCAGTTGTCTGCATTTCATGAACACCAATTAAAAATCTTTTCTACCAACTTCCCCTTGTTCCATTTGAAAGTATGTAATTGCTGCTTTAATTTTTTTCCTGACTAGAAAAGGGTTATAAAATCAACAGAGATGTCTTTCGTGATTGTGAGATATCGAGAGCCTAACTACATTTTTAACTTCCAATAGGTATTTATATTGTTTAGAGTCTTGCCAGTCATCCCTTATAAAACAGCAGTAGTCAGTACTGTGTACTCTTTGCATAAAAAAATGTAACTAAGTAATGATCATTTGCATTTAGATGTCCCGATTTATTTTAGTACGCTTTTCATCAGTTTGCCAGAATGAAGTCTAATGTTGAATTACCTGAAAGCATATTTTCTCAAAAGCTTGTGTAGGATTTTTAGAAAAATAAAAAACCAATACAGAAGCAAACCAACAAAAAACCCAGACCTTTTAATAACAGCATGCCCTCAGCATTTATGTCATATAGACATTTGTGGGAGAGGAGGAACAGAAGAATTGAGCATTTTAAATACTTTCACTGTTAAACAGTTATTGTTAGGGTAACACAAAGATAAATACTGACATTATTCTAAAAAATGCATCTGTGGAGAAGTCTTGACCTTTAGCATATACAAAACAGCTCATAAGGTTCCAAAATTCAGTAAAGATCATGATCACAACCTGGAAATGTGTTTTCTGCATTAAGACCTATTCATGTAGGAAGTTAGGAATTCAGTGTTTCCATGCTTTAAGCGCACTTAAACTATAGAGCAAATAGTAAGATGGCATACATTCATTCTCCAGGTATAATCCATGGATATGTTTTAATTCTACATATGGTGGGACTCTTACTAGGACAACAGATAAATTGTAAAGACAGTTCAAATATCCCAAAGCAAGCAGAGAGGCAAAATTACACCAGCCAGCAATTACTGATGATCTTCATTTCTGTTACCAAGTTTCTGAGATGAATTTGTGCACAGTTTTATTTCAGATGTAGGCTCACATTCAAGTACTCCCCTTAAAAGCAGTATACTTACTTTTAGTGTAAGAAGTATAATGCATGTATGAGGATTTGACCAAACCTAATAATTTGCAAATTTTCCGTCAATTATTTTAGTAGTCAATTTATATTAAATACTATATTTATGAAAGTTACTCTCTTAGCATATATACGTCACTCATTAAAGCTTTCATATGCACTGTATGCAAAAAAAATAGATTTTTTTGTCAATGTGTTTGTGTGCTGTCAGTGCTGTGAAATCGTGGCTATTGGTGATCTGTTGTAAGCTTTATGATTAATCTATGTACTTTTTTCCTTTTGCAGAGAAAGTATCACTCTGCAAAGGAAGCTTATGAACAGCTTTTGCAGATCGAAAACCTTCCTGCACAAGTAAAAGCAACTGTCTTACAGCAGTTAGGTATGTAAAATTAACTTCTGTTTTTCTGTGTGTTTCTTTTTTCCATCTTCGCCTTCAGCAGTGTTTCTAAGGCTCAGTTTCCAAAGAGGGTCTTAGACACTGATTATGATGCGTGAGATTTTTACCCCAAATAGAATGCATAACAGTAGATAATTAAGTAAATAAGAGAGGAGGAAAAGATTTTAATTAAACTTACAAAATTAAACAGCTCTTAGACTTGCTACAGTATGTGCATTACAGGTTTTGGGCAATGAGGGGGTGGTCTGTCACAGAAGGAGTACAGCAGTTAGGATTCTGTTATTATCTGTTCTCTTTTGAGAACAGCCCTTGAATAGCCAGGCTGTATGCAGTAAACCAAAATGCTCTGTTGCAGAGTAGAAAAATATGGCAAATGAAAAATGTACATTTGCTTTTTCTTTAGCTAGAGTATGTAATGAAAACCTTTTCTGTAACTAAAATGTTTACCATCAGATTCTATAAAAGAAAACACATAACAAGAGAGAAAAAAATCTTTTTTAAAAAATTGCCATTTTTCATCTTGATAGAAAGCTGTTAAATCATTTTTAGACCAAAATTTCTAATGGGTAGGTAGAGTAAATTACTTTTGTCCTATCTACCTTATAAAAATATTTCAGAACATTTTGTTAAAATTGTTCAACCCAGTGCAAATCTTCTTCATTCACTTTTTCCATGTTCTTCCATCTGATTTCTTATTCTAAATATTAATTTAGCCTGCTTATGCCCTTTTCTTTTTATTTTTGTTTTTTTTTACCCACTTCACATAATGGTCATTTAATTCAAATTAGTAACTGGCACTAAGTTATGGCCACAGTGCTTTCTTTTGTTTGTAATACAAGTTGTGTATGGATTTGGAGTGGACTGATGTGTTTAGCTTTTGAGTCTTCTGTGTGGTATCACAAATGAAACACTGGAGGAGTTCGCTGCGGGACTCTGGGTGTGCTGATCTTTTTTGCTGTTACACAACAGTGTTGCTAAGATTTCAATATTCCCTTTATTTTTTTTTAACTCGGTATTATACCACCCAGTATATATAGTCAGCAGTTTCAGCCAGAAAGGCTATACATGTCATCTGTGGAATACAAGCTTCCCAAAGTAGCTGACCAGTGCTTTTTCAACTCCGTTTGATGTATTTTGGCACAGTAGAAGCAAAGGTGCATGGTTGTATTCATAAAATCCTACCACAGGCCTCAGTCTCTGTGCTAGCAATAAGGGCAGTGACTTTGAGAATTGTCTGCTGTCTAAGAACTGGATTAAATCCCTTTCTTCAGTTGGCATAGGTCACCTAGTTTTCTAGTGTGGGTAACTTCTACGTGGATAAAAGGATAGAGTGGTCTTAACCAGGACATTTAAGGAGCAATACCATTTCTTTTGCCCTTCACTGTTAACAATGGTGTTTATCAGAGTATGATATTTATCACAGGTGTAGTCTCTAGCAGCTGGTAATAAAAACACCTCCTCAGGAGGCATGGTCTGGGAGGTGGACTGCTACTTAGAAAAAATAATAGGAAATACCTCTCATCTGCTAGAATGCTACTGGCAAAACCCATTTTTAGGTTGAACTGTGCTTTTTTTTTGTTCTGTTGTGCGAGGGGTGGTTTTGCTCTTGTGATTTTTTTTTGGTGGGTTGTTTATCTCCAACAGAAAAATTGTTTTGGCATGAAAATATCCTGTGTTTATTTTCCTTAGTTAGATAATGCTGATTGAGCCAGAGTTGAAATTTAGGCAAGTTCAGATGTCTTGTTGCTGTTTTCCGAAGCAGATGAGGGTGGAAGAGAACCCTGTGATTCAGATAAATACATATCCATTTGAGCTGATGCATGCTGACTAGTTCAAGTAGATACAACAGTAAGATCTGTACGGTTGGATAAGAGCAGTTTTTTCTTCTTTTGCGCCGTTTCTTTTGCTTTCCAGACAATAATTTTGTTCACCGCTTTGCCTAAAATTACATGAAATTAATGAAACTGAAGATCAAATCTGTCCTGGTATTGTTTTTCCAGTTGTATTCAGTATTTGCTGAGGGAAGAGTATAAGAACAGTGTAGGCATCTGCTTAGAGATTCCCTAAGCACTCTACAGTGATCTTTAGCTAGAGGCATTCCTAGGTGGTGTCCACATAACCAGATAAGATATAGTAAGATGTTATAATAGGGAAAAGGCTCATCTCTTCAGAGACTGAGATGATGATGTTTATTGGAGAAAAAGAGCAATTGTCAGAAGTTCAGCATGAGGGTGATTGATAAGCATAAAAAAACCCTGCAGCATCAGCTACACTAGCACATCCTCTTGGTGAGGCAACACAGGGATTTGTTACAAATTAGATTGTAAAGACCTGGAAAAAAGCTTTTGTTATGCTAAAAATGTCCCCAGGACGGGAAGAGTAGTCAATGTGCTAGTTGAGGGTTTGAGTTAGGTCTTGCAAATAGGAAACTGTACAGCTTACCAGGGTTTTTCCATCATCATCCTTCTGTACAGTCTTAATTTTATGCACGAGGAGAAGAGAGATCAAGTTTCCTTTACCTGTGCTATTCTAGGAGAAAACTTTTGTTTGTTCTCCCCCACGCTTTCTCTTGCCTCTCACCTCCATGCATAGAAAGATAAAATTGGGAAGCAGCCCTTGTTTCAGCAGTGAAACTAGATAGGGATTGCTTGTTCTGAGTTCTTTCTCTTAAAAATAGATTCTTTATCAGTAAACCTCAGTAAAGATCTCCTGAAGATACAACTCGTTATTCTTCAATCCAGTAAGGTTTTGATGAAACAGAAAATAGGCATCACAGCACAGCATTTCCAGAGATACAGGAAATCGTTTAATGTCTTTTTTTACCCTTGTTTATAATCCCTGAACTATTACCTTTATCTCAGGCTTTGCCTGGCAGTGTACCTGGTATGCTTGTTCTTGATGTACGCAGGTGCATTATAACAGCCACCCTCACATAAGCCTTTTTTTCTTAAAGCATGAGTATTTTCATTTTCTTATGCTTAAGAATCAGAATTTGAATCAAAAACATAGCTTAGGAAGTCCACAAGTGAAGGTAGTGTATGTTACATATCTCTGCAAGAATTATTGTGGGGTTTTTTGCTTTCCTTTTTTATTTCTTTTCTAATGGGTATGGTTTTGACTTGATCCATTTTCAGACAAGATAACTGTACTGTAACCACTTGGCTCCTAACCTGACATTTCTTTCAGACCATGAAATACTCAAACTTCTGCTTCTGACCACAGTTTCCAAGCGATAAGTCTTGAAACACCTTAGGCAAACGTTGTTCAGTAGATAAGATTTTCTTTGAGATTTCTTTTGTTAAAGTTTGGAAGTTTGTCTTCCATTTGCATAAGTGTCACTGTGACTGTTAACAGACTATAGCCCACGGAATAAAGAATAAGCCATATAGAACAGGTAGAGTGAAGTATTTAAGGTATAGTCTAATTATGGAGAGTGAAGTAAAGCTGCAAATACTAATCAGTTACATTTTCAGCCTTCCCTACCTTGTCTAGCATTTCAGATGAGATCTGAATCTCATCTGGATATTTGAGTGGTATTGTCTGTTCATGTGGTTAGACTATATCATAAAGGGCAAGTTTAGGGTGCTGAAGTTTAGCTGATGGAGGTTTTAAATGGAAATTGTGGCAGTCAGGTGAAGTTCCTGACAACTGGAAAAAGGGAAATAAACCCCTCATTTTCAAGAAGGGGAAAATGGATGACCCAGGGAGCTAAAGACCAGTCAGTCTCACCTCTGTGCTTGGCAAAATCTTGGATCAGATTCTCCTGGAAAGCACACTAAGGCATGTAAAAAAACCAGCGAGGTGTGGTTGGTGACAGCCAGCATGGCTTTACTAAGGGGAAATCCTGCCTGACCAATTTGGTGGCCTTGTATGATGGCACTACAGAACTGATTGACAGAGGCAGAGCAGTTGATGTCATCTACCTGGACTTGTGCAAAGCATTCAGCACTGTCCCACATGACATCCTTGTCTGTAAATTGGAGAGACATCAATTTGATGGATGGACCACTCAGTGGATAGAGAACTGGCTGGATGGCCACACACAAAGAGTTGTGGTTAATGGCTCAATGTCCAGCTGGAGACCAGTAGCGAGTGGTGTCTCAGGGGTCACTCTTGGGACCAATCTTGTTCAACATCTTTGTCAGTGACACGGACAGTAGGATCGAGTGCGCCCTCACCAAGTTTGCCGATGACACCAAGCTGTGTGGTTCGGTTGATACGCTGGAGGGAAGGAATGCCGTCCAGAGGGACCATGACACACTTGAGAGGTGGGGCAGTGCCAACCTCATGAAGTTCAACCAAGTGCAAGGTCCTACGCCTGGGTCGGGGCAATCGCAGGCACAGCTACAGGTTGGGCAGAGAAGAGATTCAGAGCAGGCCTGTGGAGAAGGACTTTAGGGTGTTGGTTGATGAGAAAATGAACATGAGCTGGCTTCAGTGTGAGCTTGCAGCCCAGAAAGCCAACTGTATCCTGGCCTGCATCAAAAGGAGCATGACCAGCAGGTTAAAGGAGGTGATCCTGCTCCTCTACTCTGCTCCCATGAGACCTCAGATGAAGCACAAACCAGCTGTCTACTATGAAGGATTTTCTTTATACTCATAAATGGCAGTGAGATGATTTTGTGGCTGCTTAAAGTAATTCCATCTAAGCTTAGAGGAAGGTGAGGAGCATCTTAAGATGATGAAGATGTTTCATTTGAAATGGAAACCAATCAGCGGTAGAGATGTAAAAGATGATTGGGGACCATGGATTGTAGGTGAATAAATTGTCTTCTGTAATGAGACAACTGAAAGAAAAAGGGACATGTGAAAGAAAATTGTATGTGGTTAGATGAGGAAATAAAATTATCTTTTCAGCAGAACTTACTAAGTAGATGAGAGGTAATTGTATGTTTCAAGGTGAATGGAAGGGATGTTGTAACAATGAAGGTTGAATGGTTAAGAAACATTTAAGTGGAGATAACAAAAATTCTCATGACTGTTCTGATGGGGTATTGTCTAAATGTAGAAAAGGGATAAATATGAGGACTTAGAAGAAAAGGAGTAAACTGAACATAATGTACATATAATTGGTGTGCATTTTTCGCAATGACATTGAAGGTAGCTGTTCACCTGAGGGAAGAGTTAACATTTCAAGATTTTCATAGCAGAAGACTGAGCAGTTCATAATTGTGCTGCTAACCTCATAGAAAAGTTATTTAAACAACAGAAAAACACAATGCACTTTAAAAGTACCTGAAAGTAATTTTAACTTAGGATCCTTTGGTCCTGTAATTTTAGTACAGAACTTTAAAACTTTTAAAAGTTTCCCTTACAGTATTATATGTAAATGATATTGTTGATTGATAATCCTGTTTTGAAAGAGGAACTAATGCTGTGAACATCCTGCTGTGCCAAAATGTTAAATGATCTTGGGGAATTTCACTTCTGCCATTTATGGGTTCTTTGTGTAGGCTGGATGCATCACACCGTGGATCAGCTTGGAGACAAGGCAACCAAGGAAAGCTATGCTATACAGTATCTCCAGAAATCTCTAGAAGCAGATCCAAATTCTGGTCAATCCTGGTATTTCCTTGGAAGGTGAGCTATGACTTTATAGATGCTGTAACTGTATTTATTTTTTTGAGGATACTGTTGTAAGTTATCTTATGTTGGTTTTCTTCTTAATACTTTCAGAGGAAAAATGAAGGGAAAGGGTGTATGTACCTACTGAAGTCTAGCTTTCTGGAAGGTGTCTAAAAAGACAAAGTGCTAACATATTTGGGATGAATATGTTACCCAAGTGGTCCTGCTTTTTTTGTAGTTATTATTTAGTCTACACATTTACAGTAATCTGAATCGGCTCTGCTGCCTTTACCTGTTCCTCCCGCCACATCTCCCATTCTCTCTCTTTTTTTGGTCAATGATTTGTAAATGTTGATGCTTTTCCACAATTCTTTATCTCTTTATTTTCTCAGAATCTCCCCTCTATCTTAGTAATTTTTTGCACTAAAATACAGATATTTTCCCAGGTACATGTGCATTTTTAAACAGCATATATTGCTACTAAATATCAGTTCAGATAGATCCATTCTATTACCTATTTAAATGTTGCATTACTTGTGTACTGTCAGACAGTATTTTTACTTGAAAATTAACTTACTGCAAGATGTAAACCATACAAATGTGATAGCTTTTCTTGGTTTCCTGTTTAGGAAAATAGACTAATTTACACAAACCAGTAGTAACTCTTGAAATAATCAGGTTCTGGAGAGATCTTTGAGGGCAGTTCAAGTCCATATGTTGAACAGGTTGGCTCTGTTGAGAAACACATTAGAAATTAGTTATGCAAAAATAAAATTAATATCCTAACCTCAGTATCTTCCAGATGACTTTCTTGTAGGTTTGTGTCATCCTAGTTACATTCCTCCAGCTGTTTCTGTAAGATAGGGTTTTTCCACCAGCTGCCTTGCAGGCTAAGGGAGGATTGAGTGTGAAGGGCAGAGAGCTATAGCAGGTGTGGAGGGAAAAGGGAAAATGAGACAGGCATCATGTGGCCCATCTTACTATCCACTGGGCTGATATCCTGCTTTTTTGCCGGTGGTCTCGTCCCATGGGCCTTGGGCTAGTTGAGTTCTTACATAGCAGCAGCATCAAGCCAAGACCCTATGAACTATGTGTGCAGCTGCCATGCTCCTGCTCCTACTGTGCCACAGCTTTCTTTCACGTGGTTAGAGTGAAACTAAGGACCATACAGACAAGGGGGGGGAACACAAGAAATGGGGGTGGAAATCTAGTTGGAAGCATCTCTTATACTTTACAGGGAGGACTAGAGCAGAAATGTTTCTGCGCCCCATTCGTCCATGCCATATTCTGGCAGAACAGGGTTGTGCATTTACTCTTTTTCTCTTCTCATGTGTTCCTTCCTCTCTCTGCTGGTTGTCCAAACTGGATGGCAAGTTGGTCTAAAGTTACTTTTCTTAAAAAAAATGCCACCATCATCTCTCTCTCCCACTAAAAAATCCAACAACTTGTTTTCAGTTTTGTTGGGCACCTAAGGATAGTGGTGTCCTAATTGGAGTCTTCATGTATTTGATAAGCAAGACAGATTGAAAAAGGTATACTGGAACGCACATTGGGTTTTGATAAAAGTGGTCTTCTGAAGCATTGTGTTCAGACTTAATGGATGCTTTTAGGTGACGTACTGCCAGATTTCATTATATTCCTTTCCTAGCGTACCTCAAGAATATATGAAAGAGGGTAGCATGCTTGACAAACCTTTGCCTCTACTGTTCTGTTGGGATTTATTTTCTATAGAATAAAATTTTTCTATTGTTATTTATGTGTTTTGAAATTTATCAGTTCTTTTCCCAGCAGGAAAACTTATTACAAGCAATATAAGAAGCAGAGCTATTGTAGATTAAACTAGTAAATATATATATATATATATTTAATGTTGTATTTATTTGAAGCTTTCCATTTTAAAAAGGTAGGTATTATTCCGTGTGGTATAATTGTAGTTCTCTGTAGACTTCTGATATTTCTGCTGATAATAACAGAATACCTTTGATTCTGTGTGTGAAAAATAATCAAGAAATTATGACAAAATAGAAAACAGCAGGATTCTTTACAAAATGTTGTGCTGTATGTATACAGTAAAGCTAACTGGTTTGCTGTTCACACTGGGATATGAGAAATGCACATAAAAAGCTTCCCAGGCAGTCAGGAACCATCCTGACTCAGTTGGTCACTGTCTGTTAATAAGTCTGAAACACTTATGGTAGAATATGAAGTTTCCTAATCATCTGTTAGGTGAAATAGGTAACTGAATTGTTTCTTTGTGCTACTATTTGTAGATAAATAGTGTTCACAGAATCATAGAATAGTTAGGGTTGGAAAAGATCTTAAGATCATCAAGTTCCAAACCCCCTGCCATGGGCAGGGACACCTCACACTAAACCGTATCACCCAAGGCCTCGTTCAACCTGGCCTTGAGCACTGCCAGGGATGGAGCATTCACAACCTCCCTGGGCAACCTATTCCAGTGCCTCACCACCCTAACAGGAAAGTCTGAAACACTTCTGGTAGAATATGAAGCTTCCTAATCATTTGTTAGGTGAAATAGGTAACTGAATTGTTTCTTTGTGCTGTTATCTGTAGATAAGTAGTGTTCATATTGATTGATAAGTTACCACAAACAAGACAAATGTAAGTTTTTTAATTATGGTATGACTCTGTTTTCCTTACAAATGCAGGAATCCAGGGTTTAAGCAGTTTTGTGTACTTTTCAAAGAAATAATTAGGAATACATGTTGAGTAAGATGTTTGAGTCTGCTTATGCCTGGCATTCAGAAACAGCATATGTTTTGGGATCATCTAGATGAGTCTGTATTTGCATGACTTAACATTTATCAGATCCGTCTTGGTAAGTCATCCTCAATGATTACCTTGTATAAATATTACCAAAGTTCTTTTTTTCTTCTCCCAGGTGCTATTCAAGTATTGGGAAAGTTCAGGATGCCTTTATATCTTACAGGCAATCTATTGATAAATCAGAAGCAAGTGCAGATACATGGTGTTCTATAGGGTAAGAATGATACAGGGTAATAAAATTACATAATTCCCTGTTAATACACATAAATAAAGAGTATCAGCTCTTTAACTCTTTTGTGGTCATAGGGGGACTGTAAAGCTTTTTTACTGATACCATCATGTTGTCAGATTGGTTTGATTTGAAGTTTAAATAATTGATACATATTTGCTTTCTCAATTTATTTAAAATAATACGTATAAAGATTGTATGTGTTGTTTATGCCTATAAACATGGTTTATATAATGGCAAAGTTTATTAAGGGTTTTGAGGGGGGTGTGTATATTTGACTTGCTTGTATTTTGACATTGTTACTAATTCTCGACTTCACTAATCTTTCTATTCAGTGTGCTGTATCAACAGCAAAATCAGCCTATGGATGCTTTACAGGCCTATATCTGTGCTGTACAATTGGACCATGGCCATGCTGCAGCCTGGATGGACCTAGGCACACTCTATGAGTCCTGCAACCAGCCTCAGGATGCCATTAAATGCTACCTAAATGCAACTAGGAGCAAAAATTGTAGTAATACCTCTGCACTTGCAGCACGGATAAAGTATTTACAGGTAAAACCAATGTTTTCAAAAGTGGGCGATACTCTTCCGAATACACAGCAGAGGGGAGGGGAGAAGTAACGCACAAATTTAACTTGCAGTTGTTTGTGGTGTGTATAACCTGTTTTCATGTTTATTGTAAGCATATCATAGCCTGTAATATTTTATTTCTACCATTTTTAAGTGGGACTTAATTCCTTATAAACCCTATTTTGCACATTTAATCAAAGCATACTGTTCTACATCACTTTGCTTTTTTCTTTGTATTGTCTACATTTTTAAGTTCTCATAACATAGAGAGAGAATGCACATGCACTATCTTTCACTCTTGTTTGCAATTTCAGAAAAAAGGAATTGTGAGACCTCTGAATCCAGAGCTCATCTTTGTTCTGATTCTCACAAAGGTTTATATTCTGGTTACCCTCTTTATACTTAGCACCTTTCTAAAATCCGAAATTTTAAATCTGTCCTCTCTTTAAGACATAATTAGCTACAGCATTTAGGAAGATTTCATGGACTTGCTCTTACTAAAGTAGGCTTGTGTTAAATTTGCTTTTTACATAATTTTTCCTAGGCTCAGTTGTGTAACCTTCCACAAGGTAGTCTACAGAATAAAACTAAATTACTTCCTAGTATTGAGGAGGCATGGAGCCTACCAATCCCCGCAGAGCTTACCTCCAGGCAGGGTGCCATGAACACAGCACAGCAGGTGAGAAGTTGGGTTATGTTCTGCAGGTGCCCAGCTTTAAGGGTTCTTTACAATCGGTAGTGGTCAAGCTTATTTTCTTGAGCACAGGACTGGCTTTTATTAATAAAAAGCCCTTGATTTATTTGCAAAGGGATACAAGATCAAGAGGCTCCCTATAATGTGGGAGAAATATGGGGGTACCAATTTAGAACCTTTGTGGATTTTCATGATTTCAAAATATATCATCTTAAATAGAAATGCTGCAGTGGTTTGATAATCCCATCAAAGGTACACATTCCTCCATTGATGACCATATGGAAACTGATTTTTCAGTTACTGAGATCACCTTCAGAGTACCTACTCAGCCCTTTTAATATATGTGGGCTGTTAAAAGATATAATTTAAGGGAAAGAATTAAGAATATATAGAACCATATTTTTGTCTTCCTTCTGTGATCCTTAGGCTTGTAAACCTCATCATCCAAATACTGAACCTGTACTAGGCCTCACTCAAACACCAATTTCACAGCAGTCCTTGCCACTACACATGATTCCTTCTAGCCAAGTAGATGACCTGACCAGTCCTGCCAAGAGGAAAAGAACATCTAGTCCAACAAAGGTATATACTCTGATGAACTCAAGAGCCCCCTACCAAAATTATATGGAAATATGCATTAAAATAATGCAGCATGCACAGAATTTGTGCTTTAAATTTTAATCCTTTGGCATCAAGGTGGGGAATGTTTTTAAGAATTTTAAAAAATATTTTTCGATGATGTGTTTTATCAGGTTACAGCTCAGACAAGAAGTGCATAAGGGCAATGCAGATCAGTGGCACTATACTGCAATCCTAGTTGTATAAGTGAAAAAGTGTTGTCTCATGATAGAGAGGGAGATGATCATGTCATCCTGTTTATTATCTTTGCTTATATTTAGAATTAAGTGTTTCATCATCATGTAGTGGTATTACAGTAAAGTATTCAGTTTTAAAAGTAATGTACGTATAAATTAATAGCATGATTTGATTGTTTTTCTTTAAGACATTAGATATCATTTAACTGTTTCTTCTGACTACTCTGATACTGTATGGGAATGGTGGAATGAGAATTGGCATGTTTTAGTATGTTCTTCATTTACATTGTTACTCTTGAAAAAATATCTAGTTCTTTCTTAAGTAAGATAAAATCTAGGTAGTTAAAGAAGTTCTGTTTACCCTTTGATAGTCACACATCTTAATGTTTTCTCTCAGAATACTTCTGATGTTTGGAGCAGTGGCCATACAGTGTCACATCCTCCTGTACAGCAACAAATTCATTCTTGGTGCTTGACACCACAGAAATTACAGGTATGTTGAAGATCTTCAGAAGCTTTGATGTATTTTTTTTGTTTCTTCCTCTTACGAAAATAAATCTGGAGCATTTTTCTCTTTCACATCTCTGAAATTCAGTGTGAAATATATCCCAAATAATTCCCACAGTGTAGTTCAAGTTGGGCTGCTATTTATGGCTTCCCTGTGTGAGAAGAGAAGCCATAAATATTATTATTTCTGTAGTAAAATAAACGATCTGTAGCTGAAACTGAACGCTTACATTGTATGAATTCTATAATTTATAAAGTAAGAACATACAGTAGTTCTTTTTCCTTATGATGTTTTAAAGATAGATATGCAAATTGCCACACTTGTATGCCAAGTGAGTCTTGCTACTTGCTGTTAGTGTGAGGGATATTGAAGGAGGTGTAGAAGTGTTGTAATATCCCTTTTTTCCCTTGAGGTAGCTTCTTCTATCACATTGCGTAAACAAACGTGCACATTCTACAAAATGCAGTTCTTCAAATGAAATCTGGTACTGCTTCTCTGTTGTTTGTGTATGTGAAATGCTAGATTTAATTTTTTAGATCTTGTTTCAGGTATATTTTGTTATGGTGCTTTGTTGTCTCTGCAGTTCTTTAGGGCTTGCAGTGAGCTTCAGCAAGAGTTCCGTGGTCTGAAAATTAGGTCTAGCTGGAAATTCTTACACAGATACTGCTTTGGATGCAGGGAAAAATAGAAAGGAACACGGTGCAGAGACAGAAGGCATTCTGATGACTGACCAGTGTTCCCCTCAACTCCAGTATAGTTCTTCAGCTGTTTCTCTGTCTGAACAACACTGACTTTATTATGCTGCATATTGTTTCCCTCCTTTCCCTCCCTGTCCCCCGCTGCCTCGCACACCCCTTTGGTCCTCCCTAATCGCCCTTCTGTATCTCTCTCGCCAGGCGTTCTCTTTCTTTTTCTTTGTTTATTTTATATCCTACCACTTCTCTCCCTTTTTAGTTTCACTTTTTTTCAGATCCAGTTTCTCCTCTTAAGCAGTATCTAAGTAAGCTTCTGTGTCCAAGTATGGTATACTGGATTTGCTGGCAATTGCATGACAAAGTTCCAGCGTATATGAATAGGAGAGCCAAAAAGAGACGATGCAAGAGGAGAGTGAATAAAACCTTTACTGCCTCTTCTAAGTCCACCTTTTAAAAGTCACAGCTCTGAGGCTGGAAGGATGCGCGATGTAACACACACCAAATAGCTCAGCTGACAAAAGTAGAAGGGAAAGGGGCTATGGCTGCACTGAGGCTCCAAAATGCCAGTAAAGGAGGTATGGGTGTTGATTTCACAGAACTGGTGGGCAGCAAGAGCAGTGCTGCCTGCAAAGCCTCTGCAGCCATAGCACTGGAGAGAGACGCAGACTTGCTTCTGTTGATGTTTGTGCTAGGTCTGCCTTTCTGATTCATGTTACCCTATTTAGACATTTTTTAAAAAGCAGAGTAACAACTGAAGAGCACTGGTTTAGACTTCTGTGTACCTGGTGCATGCAGTCTGTGGAGACCCTGTTTTCATCACACCATCATATAGATGCATATATATAAAATCAGTCTTTATTCATTGCAGTCCCCTGCAGAGGGACTTCAGAATGGAAAGATGTTTGAGTCTGTAACAGAAAGCTTAGTCACGTTTTGAGCTTTACAAGCCTTCTCTTCATGGATGATTTTTAGTATTGTGTGCAAGCAAGTTATTAAAAGGCACATGCAATTTTAATGATTCTGAACTGTACTGCTGTTTTTTCAGCACTTGGAACAGCTGCGTGCAAACCGAAATAATCTAAATCCAGCACAGAAACTTATGCTGGAACAGCTGGAGAGTCAGTTTGTCTTGATGCAGCAACACCAGCAGGTGAGAACAAAAATATTTTTCTCTTCTACAAAACTTTAGTCAGTAATGGTGTGTCTGTTGTGTTTCCTGAATTCTGAAGAAATCTCTTGTACAGGATTCTCATGTCCTTTACTATATGTTAAGTCATCTTTAATTGTGGTTTACTGGTTGAAATTTAATGGGTTTGGCCATGTTTTATTATAGAGCTACCAGATCATGTAAAAGCTTTCAAACACTGTCAAATTGAAATGGACAGACACACATTTAAAAGTGGTCTTACTTGAAAGATGCATAATTGTAATAAGACGCATTACAGAATATCCTTCTCTCATTGTTCACTCCTAGTGTCCAACTTTAGCAGTAAAATGTTAACAGTCAAACTGAAGGCCCTAGAAGAAAAGTGTGATGTTGGCTTTACCTTAAAATCCACTCAGCGCATTTGTGAGCATGACAGTCATCTTATTTCTCAAAAGCAACTCTGATGATCTTAAAATCAGTATAAAATTGGAATTGATCAGTGCAGTAAAGTACACAAGCAAGCACTGTATGATCTTTACTTCTTAAATTCCACAGCTAATGTTCTTGTGCTTTGTTCATCTTTCGTTAGATGAGACAAACAGGAGTTGCACAGGTACGATCTACTGGAATTCCTAATGGGCCAACAGCTGATTCATCACTGCCTACAAACTCTGTCTCTGGTCAGCAGCCGCAGGTTGCTCTGACCAGAGTGCCTAATGTCGCTCAGCGTGGAATCCGTCCCGCCTGCCCCGGGCAGCCTATGGCTAATGGACCCTTTCCAGCAGGCCCCATTCCCTGCAGCACAGCAAGAACGCTGGGTAGTACAGACACTATTTTGATAGGCAATAATCACATAACAGAAAGTGGAAGTAATGGAAACGTGCCTTACCTGCAGCGAAACGCACTCTCTCTACCTCATAACCGCACAAACCTGACCAGCAGCGCAGAGGAGCCGTGGAAAAACCAACTATCTAACTCCACTCAGGTATACAATTTCAGTTCGCTTATGGAGTATGCTAAGGAGGCTTGTTAAGCACATCACCACTGTTCAAAGTCTCTCATTTGTAGACACACATTTTTTCTGTTTCCTGAAGCCGATGACCTAGATGAAATTAAAACACACACTAGGTTAAACCTGACTATTAATTTTTATTATCAAAAACCTGTATTAAATTAGCTATTTTCAGTCTAAAAGAAATGATAGAAACGGCAGTTACATACTGCTCAGCTGCCTATCTTTGCAGGAAAGTTTCTTTAAAAAGAAATACTTGTACGTCTTTTTGTTACTGCTTCTTTAATGTGAAATGTTGTGACTTTGTTTTTCATGTAGGAGGAATGTGCTGCACATTTCATGGTAATCTGAATGTCGTAGTTACTTCTGACATTATGCTGTTGTCCTGATGTAATCATTACCCATATTTTGTTTCTGTATGATCTTTCAAAATTAATGTCTAGCAATCAAAAAAAAAAAAAAATACCCCAAAATCTCCAAAGCAGAGCTACTTGCAAAAAAAAAAAAAGCTACAGTGCCAGTAAAAATCCATAGGAATTAAAGTGTGTAAGTAGAGGCATTCTGTGTATGTGTGGGTTAGAACTTGGAGAGGGGTTTTTTCAGCCTAAATGTCTTTCTTCCATGACAGACTTTGTGAATGTAATGAGGTGTTCTGTAGGGATATATGCTAATGGTTGAATTCACTTTTACCAGATGGGTTATGCAGTTTTATACAGTACTGTTTTCTTCCTCAAAACTGCATGAATTTTTGTTAATACTGCATGTTACTTTAATGATGAAGAATTGAGAGTGGGCTGAGGTACAGACCAGACATACATACATGTTTAACTGCAGATACACCACAACAAAGGCTGAGGTAATACTGGAGCATCTTTCACTTCTAGGAAGACAGGCTGAGAGTGTTGGGGTTGTTTAGCCTGGAGAAGAGAAGGCTCAGGGGAGACCTTAGAGCAGCCTTCCAGTGCCTAAAGGTGGCCTGTGAGAAATCTGGAGAGGGACTTTTTATAAGGGCATGTAGTGACAGGAAAAGGGGAGCTATTTTAAATGAAAGAGAGTAGATTTAGATGAGATACAAGGAAGAAATTCTTCAGTGTGAGGGTGGTGAGGCACAGGAGCAGGTTGCCCAGAGAAGTTGTGGTTGCCCCATCCCTGGCAGTGTTCAAGGCTGGGTTGGATGGGGCTTTGAGCAGCCTGGTCTAGTAGAAGGTGTCCCTGCCCATGGCAGGGGGTTGGAACTAGATGATCTTTAAGATCCCTTCCAACCCAAACCATTCTATGACTATAATTCTGTGTAAAATACAGTTATTCAAAACTAAAACAGTGTTACAACATGATTTTATGAAAGTTCAGTCTATATCAATAGTACTGTTTGCATAATTTTCAAGTGTGTCAGGGGGATGGTGGAGCACGTTAGCCTCACTACCTCTTGCTTAGAATTAATTTTTCTGTTTTCTCTGTATTACATAAAAAGTTCTGTACTTGCTAGAGCTATCTACTTCATATTTGATACCAGCAGTGCTAGTGTCCAAAAG